ACACGGCTAGCGTAGGCAAGGGCTTCTCTATCATCTTTTCCACCAATGAATATCACTGCCACATTTATTGTTGCTTCACATCTTGTTATACCTTCAACTGATCCAAGGCCCCTATCTACTAGAATCCCAACAGAACAAGGGGCACTTCTCAGAACCTGTTCAACAAAAAATGTGTTTGACTGCTGTTGAAAATGTTGAGAAAATTACAATGAACACCTTCTGAGTTTTTATCAAATTATACTTACAATCTTGTTTTTTCAATATTACAATGGTGTTCTTTACCAAGGGATGTAAGTGTAATGTTTTTAAAATTCAAGGGCCAGGGACAAAAATGAGTGAACATACACTGTTCTTAAGAAAAGTTTGAGGTGTGTAGAAATTTCAGAACACTGAGAATGTGGATGTAATATGAGAAAATGTTAGGCCAGTGTAACTTAATGAGAATTTGATGCTTATTGGAACTATGCCAGAGTTAAGACAATCTTCCATCTTCTTTTTTGTTAACAGTATCAAAGGTGTATTGAGGTTCTAGTTGTGCAGAAATTGTTACCTTTCGGTTCACGTATCTGAACCCTGCATTACCACTATCCAACCTTCTATCATCACGTTGGCTCCTGTGGAATGGCAATATGATGAGGGCAATCATCAAGTCCTCTGCTAAAATGAAAATGTCTTGTGGCATGTTAGTGATTGTTGAGAGTGTCATGGTTCTTTTGAGTGTAATGCCATCATCATTGTCAGCCACATAGGCTTGGAATGAGTTGGTTACTTGGTCTCTCCTCTCCATGACTGCCCTGTCTTTCACTGTTGCTGTGTGCAATGCTTCATCCCTCTCCAATGAGTCTGATAATTCAGCAGTGAGTTCAATCATGTCAGTGACATACACCACAATGCCGGTGTCAGCAGACCCTTTTGTGATCTCCACCAAGTTGATGGAAGCAGGAGCATTTTGAGGCCCTTGAACACACAGGAGGATCCTTAGCTCACTTGAGGGGTCAAGCATTTGAAGTGCCAAACGATGAGTAGGTGCTCTTTTCTTTGCTCTTCTAATGATGCTTGCTACAATTCTTGATGCAGGTAAAGCTGTTAAAAAGGTTCCAAGTACCAACACAATGCCTGTGGTAGTAGTTACACCGCCACAACCTATCTGGTAAATAGCAAAAGAACAATATGAGCCTAGGAGCTTCAAGTAACCCAATGACAAACATGATTTAAGTTACTTTGGGTGTTATGACAGTAAAATGGTCTCATTCTAGAAATTACTTCAAGTTATACTGAATTTTCACAATTCTTAAGCACAAGAATCAAGTTAGCCAAGAATGTGTGCTGTAATAAAGCCAAAGTGAGAAAATCAAGAGTTTGAATTTAGAAGACTCACCACTTTCATAGCTAAGTAGATCTGCAAATGGCCCTTAGTGACAAGGAGCATTCCTATTGCAACCGATTCGGGCCAGTGAACACCAGACATGGCCCCATAGACGACTACTCCAACAACTTTTCCAGCTACTGCCACTACCAAAACCACACTTAGTCTTACCCATGTTGCAGGATGGTGTAGTGCAAACTGCCTGAAATTAGATTCATAGCCCATCCACAAGAAAAAGATGGGAAAGAAAATTGTGGTCAACATGTAGTTGATTCTGGTGATAAACCATCTGGAAACTCTACCCTCCCTGGGAACACAAAGCCCTACCAGAAAAGCACTTAAAATTGGATTATAATTATACATAGTGGTGGAGGCACACATTAAGACCATGAAGGCGATGGACAGTACCAAGTGTGGACCTTTCATGGGTCTACCCTCAGGGTTCTCATTGCTAACCCACTTCAAGAGCATTGGTGACACCATGGCTGTGAACCCTATCTGCACCACCACTGCAAACACTACATTTACAGTCTTCTTAATCTCAAACCTTCCCAGCAAATTTTGACAATATTCTGGCATTGGCACAGCTATGGTGCCAATGGAAAGCATCAAACAGCACACAAAATCTGTGTGCATCCCTGCTCCAATGATGAGCTTGCCAATATCTGATTTTCCTATTTTCAGCTGGGTTATTAAACGGGTCAAGAGTGGTGAGTCCGTGCTAGAAATCATTGTGGAGAAGGCTAGGGTGAACTCCAGCAGCTTGTTTTCATCTGGGAAGAATTTGAACATTGGGGTTACAAGACCTCCCAGAATGAACGAGCATATGATTCCTGCTAAAGCAGTTTTAGTATACCTATTTGGTTTTGCAAACAGTGCATAAGGATCCATCTCTATTCCCAGGGTAAACATGTAACATGTCATTCCAAAATCAATGATGAATCCAAACGTCAGGTTAAATTTCTCAAACAGCCTACGTACAAACCCTATGTTGCCCACCAACAGTCCTACCTGCAGAACATCATCAAAAACAGCATCATTTCATTTTTCACATTTTCCATGATTCACATCCATATGAATAAAGATCTGAGATTCCAAATAATCAAACCAAACATCTACTCTATTCATTAGCTGTGGAGAAAGAAGCTCACAATTATGTCTGAAGTAATGCGTGGTTGTTTATAAGGCTTTAGTAGAAAATGTAAACCATTGCACGCAAGCACCATCCCAATATATACAACAAAGTTTTTAGCTACTTCCATTATGAGGTTACCTAACTTGTCTCCACAGATAGTTGGCTCCATGGACTTCATTGGCAAGCCAAAAGCCATTTTGACAACCCAAAAATTTCCACCCTCTTTTTCTATAGATTACTTATCTTCCTTTTTCTTTCTTCTTTTTTTTCTTCTTCTTCCTTGCCTTGATGACCAAGAACAACATTTTTTCTTCTTAGTTTTGTTTTGTTAATGGATGATTAACACCAGTGGCTGTGATTCGTAGCTTTCTTTCAGGAGACAATAGAGACAATATAGGAGCACTGTTAGGATAACAAGGCATATATGGCTTGTGAATCATGAACCGAACAACATGGATAAATCACAAATATTCTCCTCATTTAACAAATGCTTCCATACATCTTTAAATCTTAAAAATGTCATCTTTCACCCCTTCTCAACACCCAATTGCAATTTTCTCCCTTTTATTTAATCTTTTTGTGCAAACAATAATGATAACATATGAACCAAATTAATTTAGATACAGTGAATCCATTTATATATATTATTCTTCTGAATCCAACACATTAGTTAAAATTATGATACTTGTTTACATGTTAGTATTTGACCAATTGCTTGCATGAGTTTTGCCTTTCTTAATCATTGTATAAATCCAATAAAAATGTTGAAAGAGATTGGTGAGTAGATTTATAATAATTCCAAACGTCATGCTAAACATTCTTATGAATAAATTATCCTACTGTTTCGGATCATTATAGTTTAAGTAATCTTCAATAATTACACATAAACATCACCATAGATTAAATGTGGTTATACATTTTTCGAGTATAAGTTTGTAAGATGATTAATATTAATAAAATGACTCCTGACATGGTAATGAAACATATGAAAAATATTTTACAAAATTAAGTAGAAAATAATTTAAAACCCCATTTCAATTTTTTTACGTAATGATTTTGTATATGTAAAATAATTATCAATATATAAAAATAAACAAAAAATCATCTTTGGTTTCAAAAATAACAATTACACAAAAGTGCAATTTCATATTAAGTTGATACTTTTGCATAATGTTAATATTTATATTATGATAGTTAGACATAATTAAATATTTACAATACTATTGTGTCATAATTATTATAATCATTCATCAGTATCTCTTAAACATAATATTTGTTCTTGTTAACACAATTGTAGGTTATTATTTATTGTAAATTATTTTTTGTACGTCATTATGTATTTAGTCACTTTTGTATTCAAATACATACATATCAATGCAAATCATACCATTCAATACATTTATCTATCTTGATATTAAAGCTTTTGATCCATAAGCACAACAATCATGTCATCCGTTGCCAATCAGAAAAATGACCTATGACCTCTCATATACAATCTTTGTCAAGTTAGACAAAGACAACTATCCACTATAGAATTCTCTAGTATTACTAATGATCAGAGGCTACAAACTTGATGACTATATTCTAGTATTCATAAACTTTGATGACTATATTGTAGTATTCATAAACTCATCATTTTCCCTTCTCACTGCTTCAATCTCCTCCTTCAACATTTCAATACCCACACGTGACTTTTGAGAGTTTTTCTGCGTCAAATCTCGTTCCGTTTTAAACTCCGAGACATCTCTTTGTTTATGTAACAACAACTTTTCACCTTCGAACCTAAGTTTCTCTTCTTCTTCTCTAAGCTTCATCTCAATCTGGAATCGCACAATGATGATTTTCAATTCATGTTTAAGATCTTCAACCTCATGGTCCTTCTCTTCGAGGAGTTTGTCAAAGAGGTTCATCTCCTTGTACGAAAACTGAAGTACTTGGTCTCTAATTTGGGCTCTTCACTAACTCCTTCGAGTTCTCCACCGAACTATATAGATGCTTTTTTGTGAAAGATGGTCAGCCTAACAAATAGTATGTTCCTTTCTCAGTGAGAAGAAAGAGATTAAAATAGTAAGAAGGGACGTATTGTTTGCTAATCTGATCATCTTTCTCTTACTATCTTTTTTCTCACTAGGAGACTCAGGCTCTCTTTGCTCTAATGCTAATTTGTTAGAAAATGAAACCCACTTAAATATTTCTAATGCGTTTTCATTTTTCATAGGTCTCAATTTATAGAATTAACATTAGACCTTTTATAATGCTCCAAATTATTTAAAATAATACAACCTAAAACATAAGTAACGTCATGACTCTTTCTCTCCCAATATAATAAACACTATCACGCTTAATAATTTGTTAGTTTATTCCTACACATTCATAAATAAATGGAAATCATATTATTCAATATTCGCAGATTACTGCAAAAATTACAATCTATGCAGATACAGAAGAAATTACTGATAACAATAAAATAAAATAAAACTGATAAAGTCCATAAAGAATTCAATCACTTTGAGTAGGCAAATTAATGCGACACAAAGGGCAAGAATTTCCTATTTGCAACCACTCAGTGATGCAGCTTTTGTGAAACGCATGCAAGCAAGGCATACGAACACCAAAAAGAAAATCCTCGAAACAAATGGCGCACCTTTCCGAACCCTTTTGTTGAACCATCTCCAAACCTTCAACAAATGCCTTGTCTGCAGGCACTAATCCATAATCTTCATCGTCTTCTTCGAATCCATATTCCTCAGCTTCCTCAAAATGATCATCATCGCTAACGTTGTCGATAACACTGGCACTTATTTCATCTTGGTTTGCACTGACACTTATTCCATCTTGGTTTGCACTGACACTTGTTCCATCTTGATTTGCACTGACATTTATTCCATCTTGGTTTGCACTGACACTTATTCCATCTTGGTTTGCACGAGTAATGCCGATTTCCACACGCATACAAAGAACAAGTCTATGTCGGTGAGCTGTGTCACGAATCATGTCACGTACACACCGTAACACTTCTGCGACCACGACACCGTGAGCATTTTGAGGCAAACCCATGCGGGAAAGACAGTACACGATGGTTGTTTCTTTCAACATTTCATTCTTCGAAATGTTTTGAAATTTGTGGAGTAAAACGTTGCCAAAGGCTTCTGATTTGCTTCCATTCAAATCGTGCATGTTTGAGTACTGAAAATCTACATCGAAGTGTTGGTGATCATGGGGAAAAGGTAGACGTTCTGACGCAGAGATAGAAAGCATTGGGTATGCATTACAGTGGTATTCATCCATTGAATTGATTTGGGAAGAAGAATGATCAGAAAGAAAAAGAAGGTAAAATAGAGACTAGCTGCGGAAGAAGAAACAACAATATAAGAAAGTGAAACACTGAATAATATAAAACAAACACTAGGGTTTTGGCATTTATAAGAATTTGGGGAATACTTGGAGATTAATATATCTATATCTATCTATATACATATATCTATTTATCTATTTATAATATTTGTTTAACAATTTTATTCTTTAAATAATTATACTTTTTTAAATTTAACCATTTCTTTAATTTAATACTTTTTAAATTTAATTGTTTTATAAAATTAGTATTATTATTTATAATAAAATATTATCTACAAAATAAATAATTGTTATTTACAATAGAATATAAAAAATATTTATATTTTTTATAAATATAAATTTATTATATTTTATTATATATGTTTTCAGGATATATTTATATAAAAGGAATTTAGATCAAGATATTTTGTTTTCATCTTTTGTTAATGGAATATTTAAAGATTTTATATTTGGTTCATAAAATGTATTATTTATATTTGGTTTCAATCACTGTGTTGGCTCTTTGAACGATTTTGAAATATTTTCTTAAATTTTTAATTTATTATCATAATACATTATATGTTTTTTCTCATATAATAAGATGATATGTGGATACAAGTAAGTTATTTAATGATATATCAAAAAACAAGACAAAATAAAGTTTAGGTCTAAATTTTAAGAAAAAAAAAACTGTATACATAAAATTTGTTAATAAAATATTATCTACAAAATAATTAATTGTTATTTATAATAAAATATAAAAAATATTTATATATTTTTTATAAATATAAATTGATTATATTTTATTATATATGTTTTCACTAATATATTTATACAAGATATTTTGTTTTTATCTTTTGTTAATGGAATATTTAAAGATTTTATATTTGGTTCATAAAATTTATTATTTATATTTTGTTTCAATCATCGTGTTGGCTCTTTAAACGATTTTGAAATATTTTCTTAGATTTTTAATTTATCATCATAAATTTTATGTATTTTCTCATATAATAAGATGATATGTGGATACAAGTAACTGATATAATGATATATAGACAAAATAAATTTTAGGTCTAAATTTTAAGAACAAAAAACGGTAAACATAAAATTTGTTAATAAAATATTATCTACAAAATAAATAATTGTTATTTATAATAAAATATAAAATATATTTATATTTTATTATAAATGTAAATTTATTATATCTTATTATATATGTTTTCACTACTATATTTATAAAATCAAGATATTTTGTTTTTATCTTTTGTTAATGGAATATTTAAAGATTTTATATTTGGTTCATAAAATTTATTATATATGTGTTGTTAATACTTTAGGACAACAATTATAACTAAATTTGTTATATTATAGATATAGATGTGACAAAAGAAAGGTACAAAATAAAAGAGATTTTACATCAGTATTTAAATAAAATATCTTTTGTATTTTTAAGGATATAATTTGTAACATCCGAAAAGTAAAATTTTATACTATATTTAATAATTCTTACATTTACAATAAAATAGAACAGTTACAAGGAAAAGTAAAGTTAATTTACAGTTATCCTAAAATTATCATAAATTAAAAACTTTACAGAAATCTATACTAAAACAACCCAAAAGAGCTTACCGATCGGTCATACAAGAAGTGTATCGACCGAACGGTTCTACACAAATACAATAGGAGTACAAGACTGAACGGTCTTGCTCTTAAACCTACCTTCTTCTTCTTCTAGCGCTTGCTCTAGAGAGTCATCTGCACCTTCTGTTAACACCCACCGCGTGATCACTGCAAAGACAATGACGACCGAACGGACCACATGACGAGACAGGAAAATAAGGGTAAACTAGTATAATTTAATTAACTATGTAAACATACATTTCATACAAACACATAAAACAATCATACTTCTACATAAATCACACCAACATATTATAACCGACCACTTTCACTTTGACTGTCCAGACTGTATGAATTATGTAGCTACGACGTTCTTGCACTCGTGGAAAGGTAATCTGGAAAATCATCAGAATTACCATAGCTGGAAACCCAAGCCGCCACACAAGGTTAGTCCTTCATCCCTCACTGTAGCTGGAAACCCAAGTCTACACATGAGTTTAGTCCGATAGTTGGAACCCCAAGCTATATGCAACCAGGCCTCATGCTATTCTCACCACATGTGCCACCACTCTCTACTTGAGACTCGATGACCATTAGAATATTAGGATGAACGACAATTTAGTCTGACCATATTCAAACTTTACAATTCCATAACCATTTCTGAGATATTCCTCCTTGGAACACTCGTTCATATCCATATAACACAAATCACATCATACTTCTTCATATCCATACTATTCCATTCATATCACATTTTAAATACCATACTTCATTAACAACATATTTCCTCATTCATAACACATTTAAATAACATCACTCTTGAGCACAACCGAACGAAAAAGATAACCTTAGCCTATGAACAAGACTGAATGGTCGAACACTCTCAATATGTGAATATGACCGAACGGTCATGTAAAAAGTAAAACTCAATCATGAGTTGAACGTCTTTGAAGCTGAACGTCAGAACAACCAAATTCTAAAGCTAAAACTGAACACTTGAATCTTAGACCAAACCTTTATGATTTAGAACGAATACTAATGCCTTAGACCGAACACTATTGGCTTAGGCCGAACACTATTGGTTTAGACCGAACACTTAAAGCTTAGACTGAACACCAATACAAACCGAGTACTATTGAGACTGAGCACTAACACTAGCATAACTGCTAGTATAAGACCGAACACTTTTGAAACCGAGTGTTGGTATTCAATGGCCTATAAATAGTTAAGGCCTATAACAGACCAAATATAGTTTAAAATTCAAGAGCCCTTACTAGACCGAATGCTATATTCAATGGAATATTAACACAAGACCAACCAGTCATTAACTGAGAATCCACAATAGTAGAACTAAGTTAAGACCGATCGGTAATATAAAACCGATTATGGCTAAGAGACCGACCACTCACCTAAGACCGAGCGGTCATGCACGGGTAAGACAAAAGAGATCGAACCCAATTTATCGACCAAGTATCTGAACGTGAACGAGCGGTCAACAATAGACGATCAGTTTGCTACCTAATACTGCAGAACTTCTGCAGCTTTATGAACCAGCTAAAATTTATCACAACTACATATTTTTCCCAATTTCATCATTACACTCACCATTCACTTGGCTACTGAATTAGAATCAAACAAAAACACAATCATCATAAGCGCATCATCAATATTTCATACCAACAACACCGAATATCAAATCATTTAATTTCCTACACATGCATAATCATAAACCACATATTCATACTTCAAAACCAAGTAACTAAATTATCTAGCTTCCCTTACCTCAAACAGACCGAACAACTTCTATCCTCTAGAAATTTGTGCCCACTTTCTGAAATTCTATAAAAACCTAAAGCTCACCGATTGATGAGAAGAGTTCAACCAAAGGACCAGAAATGTGATCAGAATTGGGAAAAGAACACTGATGAACACATGCAACCAGAAACTTGGCTTGCATGTGGCTAAAAGTTACATAATCTAACAATAATCTAAGAAAACAAGACTTACCAACTCTAAACAAGACCTTGATCAGTGAAGATTGAAGATCTTGACTCCCAAATTGTTTTAGACGATGACTATTTGAGGAAAAGATGAAAGGAGTTGAAGATTTTCTAGAGAGAAGGAGGAAAAAAGGTAAATGTTTGAGTTTTAGTGAGATGCAGATTTCTCAGAAAATGAGATGAGGTGTGATTTGGGAAATTCTATAAAATGCTCACTGTCTTGTATTTGAGACATCTGTCACTCCTTTCCAGTTTCATTTTCAGGGTTTTACATAATTATGAGAGAACACTGTCATGGTAATATTATAAATTTAAGATGATTGAAATACATTTTTTATAAATAAAAATAAAAATTTATATAAAAAAACGACCAATACTTTAATCTATATCTATAT